CCCCCTGTACCCACTGCCCAGCTTCACTAATGATGAAATCATAACCACTCTTATTATATCTCTAACTCCATTCATCCACCCTCCCATTTTGTTCTGCAGCAAATCCCAGATGTTGAATCATTTCATCTGTAAAATCATCAATAACTATCTTTAAAGAAGGCAAACCCAGAGTTCCTTTTTTAAAAAGTTATGGTCAAATACAATTATCACACCAAATGGTGATATCACTTTTGTCTTAAAATAATAATTGATGGCTACATTCTGTATTTCTACAAGATAATATCTGACCAGAATTTGAAACGTTTTTCCAAACATGCTTGAATAGAAATTAAAATGAAAAAGAACGCTTCTGATTTGAGATTTACTTAAATCCTCTCTTAGGATTACAAACTAAGGCAGATGTTGAAATTGCTACTTAATAACTATGAGAACTGCAGAAATGGAAAGTGAAGCAATGGGGCCCTTTCTAATTCTGTTTTTCCTCAAAAGGAGAACATTCCGTGAGCATCCATCGCATGTGGGCAGGCTCCTTCCTGTGAGGCTAGATGGTCTGCTTCACTTCCCAGGTGAGGATGACTAGGTGGACAGAGACCGGAGGCCAAAGGGGCTCACAGAGCAGATCCCTGGCTAAGGAAGCATCTGAACTCAGGCCTGTCTCACAGTAAAGTCAGTGCATTTCTGCTTTCACATACAGGCATTTTCATCACAGTATCACTTTTAGATTCATAAGTAAAAATGCTTTCTCTCATTCCTGCCTGCAATGCAGGAAACGGGGTTCGATCCCTGGGTAAGGAAAATCCTCTGGAGAAGGAAATGGCAACCCACACCAATATTCTTGCCCAGAGAATCCCATGGACAGAGGAGCCTGTCGGACTATGGTCCCTGGGGTCGCAAAGAGTTGGACACTGCTGAGCAACTAACAGTTTCACTTTCTTTCACATCATGCTTGTTACCAGAATTAAAGACGGTCAGGCTGAATTTGGAAGGCCTCATCTCAACACCCCCGCTGCACAGATGAAGACACAGAGGCCTGGAGGTGGGCAGTTCCCCGCCAATGCCATTCCAGATGGGGAGCTGCAGGGCCACGAATAAAATCACGTCTTATGTCTCTGAGGTGGTGCCCGTTCTCTGCATACAGTCTTACCTCCAGGTGTAATAGTTCCAGAATTCCTCTTCCTGCTTTAGTCCTGGGCTTAGTAACACACTAGAATATTCAAAGGCTGACAGCATTTGGGAAGCTCCCGTCCCAGAAGAATACAAGCACCAAAGGTCACAGAAAAAGGCACCCCGCACTCCACGCCGGGCCCCTGGAGTGTGTCACAGGAGCACGCGACCTTGCCTCGGAGCACACAGCAGCATGTGCTGTACTAGCAATGAGCCTGGAGAAAACCGAAGTCCCGCTTCAGGAGACTGGAGTAATGAGCGACCTCACTACAACTAACCACTTTCCCGGTGGCTCAGATGGTAGAGAATCTGTCTGCAATGCAGGAAACCCGGGTTCAACGCCTGGGTCGGGAAGATCCCCTGGAGAAGGGCCTGGCTACCCACTCCAGTATTCTTGCCTGGAGAATCCCCATGGACAGAGGAGCCTGGCAGGCTAAAAACCAGAGGGTCGCAGAGTCAGACATGACTGAGCAACTAACACTTTCACTTTCAAGGGTTCCAAACAGAAGGGAGACACGCAGAAGTGGTTTGAATGAGCCACCTTTATCTATCCAGTTAACATGGATGCAAGATGAAGACTGTCACCAATGGCAATCTCTTATTTTCAATGCTTATCTTTATGCTCACAGCAACCTTACGAGGTAGACAAAGCAGGTTTATAACTAGCTGTTGACTGATTTCATATTTTGCATTATGCCAGTTAAAATGCCTGGAGGAGTTACATAGACCATGTATTTACCCAGTGCCAGAACTACAAGAAAAAGGCAAAAAATAGTTCTAGCTCTTTAAGGGCTTACAATCTAATTGAAGAGATGGGACCACATACACACATCATAAAACTATTAAGGAGATAAGGCAAGGCGACCAGAACTTTTCCGAGAGTGAAGTGAGTGGCCAACCTTGGCCTGTTCCACAATCTTTCTTTAAGCTCTAAAATGAGCTCATCCGGCCCTGAATTCCTTGGAGGGGTGGGGGCACATGCAGAGACCAGCTGACAGCTGGAGACCTAAGGGACTATTTATAGCAAGAAAGAGAGAAGGAACAGATGCCTTCATGGCGCCCTGAGACAGGAGGTCCATGTACACTAGCAGATCTTACAATGCTGCCTACAGCCTGAAAGGCAGGCTCACTTTCCTTGTCCTAAACACTGATGGAAAAGTCTTAAAACTAGGTTGCCTGAGTTATTACAGAAACCCACCAACACACAAGCTTCAGCCTTTCCATTCACTGCTACGATGCATAGGTACATTCCTATAATTTTGTTCCCTGCAACATCTCGTTTCAAAAGCCCATAATCATGTGTGATGATTTTAACTTCACTTATTTACATTTTATTATGAAGAATCAAACTTCAACCAGACTTTAATACTCAATAAGGAAAGAGTTCTGTAACATGGAAATCATGTTTAGAATCTAGCACTCCTTATCTTAAAATAGTTCTGAGATTCTGAAATTCCACATTATTATCACCCATCCTATCATCCTCAGTGAAATACTTCAGTAAAGGAACCAAAATTAAAGTTCACTAAATCGCTGATTTGATCTCTTTAAAGAAGAGTTGACTTAAAAGTATTACAAATGACTAAATACAATTAATTAATTATACCCTATAAATAATCAATCATAATACAATTCATTAAATAGCGTGATGTGCGTCTCTTAAAAGTTTTATTGTCAAAGAGAATGCAGTTATATCTGCCATGTACTTAAGAAAAGTATATATATTGCTAAGAAAAAGAATAAATTCAGCTTCTATTCCCCTCCAAATTACAAAATCTAAACTAGGGCTAAAATACCAACATCAGTCCCATTCACAAGGAGGAAAATTGATTTTAATGAATTAAGTAAAACCTAGAACTTACTTTTCCTGTCCCTATTTTAGGACCAAAAAATACTTTCTATAAATAATGTGACACGAGTTACTTATGCACGCTGTAAAACCCCTGGGAATACTGGCTCTTGTTTTTTATGTATTTAAACCTTTCGTGCAAGCCTTACTTTAAAATTGGAAAATGACAGTAAAGGCGAGAAGTGCCTAGATGTTCTTAAAGATTTCCAAGACTGTGACAACACTGCCCTATCCTGGCTCTGACTAGTAGCCCTGGTAATATATTCTAACTGGTCTTCTGTACATACAGTATATTTTGGGGTTTTCTGCCTTCCTTCAACATGTATGACTTGAACAGATTTGCTGCTATTCAAGTTGAGGAACATATTGTGAAATAAAAGCAACGCTGTGAAATATACTATTTTCACTTTTCCATCAGGCTATCTTCTCCAAATGAGATGTTATGGTTTGTATGTTTTGTTAAACGTAGGCCGTGTAGAAATGTATTTTATTAAACTGATGTTAATGCATTTAGATTAAGAAAACAGAACTGTGAAAAAATAAAACACATTCTACTGTGGTTAAGCTAAACAATAAAGACAAAAAACTGTTTGGAGGATTTAACTTGTTGAGTGTCAGGGTAGAAAATCCAGGTGAACACATGACTTTTTCTGAAGGTTTGTTAAAAATTAGAAAACAATTATTAATAACTGACATATAGTCTTTTCTTTCGCCATGGCTTACTGCTTGAATCTCTGGGCATCAGTCATTACACCACATAGAGAACTGTGGGGTTGTATTTTTGGTTGACATACTCCACAATGCTCACTTCAGAGCTCCCTAGTCTACACTGAACATAAAGATGAAACGAAATCCTCTACATGATGGGAGTCTGTTTCAGACACTGGCTTATACAGAAATTTTTTATTATGAAATGCCACACAGCCTGGCACAGAGTGCTCAAGAATGGGGCATTACTGGAAGACCCTCTAAATGCAACCCTCAAGATCCTTGCCCTTGACTGTCCTCATTATGAAATCCTTTTGCTATATCAATATCCTAACCTCCTGAACGGGGTCCCAGAAGAACTCATGCACACCGATTTTTTTTTAACTGTGAGATTTTACTCACACTTAAAATCTCTTTTGATTGTTCAATTATAAAACATTGCTAAGGTTTTGCTTAGCTCTTGATTTAAATAAAGGATACATAAATAAGAATAAATATTTAACTGATGTCCCTTTTTTTTTTTTTGGTCATAAGTACTTGCTCTGTAATGCTAGCTTAATAAGATATGTAGACTGTGCTTTCTCCCTTAAACAATAAAAGGTGGTCAGCCACACATTGCCCTGGGGATGGTTTTCACAAGCGAACCTATTAATATAAATGTTAACAATTATAAAATCATCCACATCCTTATTTAAAAAAAAAAAAAGCTAGCTCTGCTCTTAAGTCTTCATACCCTCAGTAGCATTAAACTGTCATTTGGCTATGTTATGGTTCAACAAGCTTTCTTTTGCCTTTATGTGCTTTTTGAACTCACTGACCTAAATTTCATCAACTCTAAGAAAGGGTAAAAACAAATGTCAAAACAGAAGTCCATCCAACAAACAATAAACCTTCCCCTACCTGTACTCTGCAATTTCCTGACTTGGTGAGAACCCATCTCTATACTGACATTGAGGTTATAGTCTCATCTTATTTTGTTAATACTTCCCCTGTGCTCTGGATTTTTATACTTTCCAAAACATGCATCCATTTAAACAAAGCCATAAAGTCACTATGTCTTCCTAAATTTAGGAAGCTATCTTTTGTAAGTTAGTAAAGTTCTGAGGTTGCAAATGGGTAAGAATCACCCACCGTCTCAGAGGATTGTTACTCAAGAGACAAAAGCTGAAGCAAGTGAAAAATCAGAAGTGTTCTGCAAGCCTCAAAACACTCTGGACATGAATGCCTGCCAGGGTCTGAGAGAAAAGGGGGTGGGGCGTCGTCAGAAACTTCCGCTTACCCCTTGCTCAGATTCCAAAAGCTCTGTTTTGACTCTGACTGCCGGCATCCCATCAAGCATTAACATTCTGTTCTCGAAGGTGTTGATATTCTGAGAATAAAAAAAAAGGGAGAGAGGGAAATTCAGCTATAAAGTGTTCAATGGAGGACATCTAAATGTAGCACATTTAGTACCGCGAACCTAATTTTTAACAATATAGTATAATTAAATAAGAATACCCGCACCACCAATTATCCCCCCATTCTGAACTTTCATTATAAATAATGACCAAGAACTTGAATTAATCAGTCTGATTCTCTGACCTCTGGGTTGCAGGTCAGATGATAATAAACTGGAGTGAGGAAACCTTACATTAATTTATATGGGGCCGGAATAATTCATCAAGCTTTTGCAAATAGTGGAAGGAAATGCAAGGCGAGTTTCTTTCTTCCTTTAGCTTTGGAGGTTGTACTGCATACAGAAATCCATAAAGAACAAAACAGATCACAATAATTTATATACTCTCATATTCCTGTCAAAGTCTAAAGAATTTTAAAAGCAAGAAACTATAATACTAGACAGTTAATTCTGGTATTGTGGCATACCTGACCCAATGAAAATTTCTACCTGTCAACCTCAAACATCTTCTTCGAAAACAAATAATGTAACTATTGGATTAAGAATGAATTCTTAAGCTGAAATCATAATCAAAGAATAAAGAACAATTTGTTTTCTGTTCTCGTATATGTTTGGCTCCATTTGCCACCTCTTGAAAGGAAAACCTTACTTCTATGTGGTTCAATAGAATTTCCAACAACATTTATAAAAGGATTAAATCAAGGTTATCTTTGACGACTTTGGGGACTTTCTGAAGTCAATAACCTATGAAGGGAGTCATAAAGCCACACATCAGTTTTGCTTCAGGTCAAAATCAGGCTCATGTTTTAAAATATGTTGAGAATGCCAACTTTACTCTCAAATACTGATTAAACCCAGAAATTAAAATCACTAAGTTTGACTGAATTTTTAGGATAGTTTCTTTGCTCGGTTATAGAATGTAACCATGACACTTAAAGTGGTCTTACTAAAAGAAAAAAGACATTTTCTAAATGTTTGCCTACATGGTGACAAAGGTTAATATCACTTCTACACCATCAAGTTTTCCCCATTCATAGAGTTGCTTTTCTCCCCAGCAGACAGTTAAATAAAAACTCCCACTTCAACACATCATAAATTAAATGCGTTTATTACCAAATAATACCAACAGAGCGCAGCATGGTGAAGCTCTAAATATTTCTCCCATTTCTTGACTCTCTTTTTTGTTTAACAAAAATACTCTAAGAAATAAAATGTATGGAGCCACTCATGACAAATATTTGCTCAGAGAAACCAACAGCAAGAAGAAAAAGCAAATTTACACTAAAGCTAACTAATAAGCATTCAGAAATTCCATTCTACCTAGTTAGTTAGGGAATAAAAAGAAAGTTAATGTCATGTTCTTCTCTTAGAAAAGTACAATACTATTAACACTGATAGGATACTTTTTTTTAATGTTTGCTTTTGATTTGTCCCTATCTTGGAGGGATTTTCACACCCTCATGGCTTAGAATAGGAGGAAATCTGGTGTTAACTGGTGAGCTCAGTGCATTAGTTCCAAGCTTAAAATCCTTTCAGGGAGACTGATGGATTGCTTACACATCAGGGCATGGATCTCAAATCCCAATGGGGCACTTGCTTCCACGGTTGGAAGTGGCCAGCTGGACCTGCCTCCTTTCAGCCTCAGGGAAGCCTAGGAAGGAGGTACCCAACCCTCAAGTGCCCAGTCCTTCACAGCAGCCAGGAATTTGCCCTAACGAAGCTTCTGGGAGGCTGTTTGGTTGGTAGACAATGAAGGATGAGCTGATATAGTTTCCTACCCCGGAGGAGGTCTTGCCCAGGTGGAAAGCGAAGAAGATGCCTTGCAAAGAAAGGGGAAAGACAAAGAACGATCCTGGAAAGGCAGGTTTAATGAACTGTTAGAATCTGATTAGAGGCTAATGTCCCTTTTAGTGCTTTGTACCAATTTACAGCTGATATACTTCAGCTGTTTTCCTGGCTGGCTGTGATCAACTCATTCTTTTTTTTAAAAAAGGCAAGCTAACCAGAGTCTTTGAAGTTAAAAACAGATAAATCATAAAAACCTGACTGGGTTCATATTCCATTGAGTACATTTAAATATCACTGCATTTGCAATATCATTTGTGTTGCTGTTGTTGTACTCCAATAATTCTAGATGTGTTAAAGACACGACTACCTTTCAGTTTCATGTAAAAGTCAACAAAAATCCAATACATTTTCCAAAAAACTTTCTTTTTAAATAAAGTTTGCCCTGTAAATATTTCTCTTCCCCTGGTTTTTCCAGGATCAGCCAAAGCACAGCCATAATAAACATCATAAATAACACTGTGCACAGCTAAGGAACCAATCTTTTAAAAAATTCTTGCAACTAATACAGATTCAATCCGTACATATGCCTGAAAGTTAAGACTATACACACATGAAGGATATTAATCTCTGCATTCATGATTCTAACCTTGTTTAGCACAAAGAGAAACACACATATTCCATGCATCACACCATATTCCAGACCATCCAACAAGGTGTATGGTTTTTATAAAGCACATGATAATTTTACAGCATTAAGAGTACAGTCCTTGGAACAAAACACAATAAATAGATTTATCTCTCTAAGCTAAAATCAGATACATACAATCTCAACTGACTGCAGACTTTAAATATGTAACGAACTGTAATAATTTGAAATTGCTGTCAAACATATCTTGCCATGGTCTTGATCAAAATGCATTTATAGGAGAATCCAATTGCCCGATTGAGTCCCCAGAGGAAAATAAAATTACAGTCATCAATTTTAGTAACATGGTACTCTTTATGTTGTGACAAACTTTGTGATATTATACAACCCTATATAATTTATGTGCACATGTTTATATTCATGCACACATCTATATACCTATGCTACTTATTTCATATGAGTAAAGTGTATCAATTATAGCCAAATTTACCATCAGATTAGCTGACTGTTGATCAGTTACATGTACACTGGATCAGAATGGTACTCTGGACACTCGTACTTGCCAAGTAAGATTTGGCGCTTAGCAGTCCAGCTGATACTAGTTCTCCCAGTCAAAGGAAGTATAAACCAACAGTGCTCAATCCTGGCATTTCATAGTATTCTGAATGGAACATGGAGGAAGGAAAAAAAAGGATGCTTACTGATAATCTCTCATAAAAAACAGAGAACAAGGATGACTTTCCAAGTCAACTACTACAATCTGGAGTGGTAGATTGGAATCCTCCAGTTCCCAGAATGCAGGTCTCCTCTTCTCCCTCCTCTAGAATATGGGTTATCCAGTTTGCACAATTTAAGTAATAAAGAACAAGCTAGTCAACATTCAATAAATCTAATTTTTAAACCATGTTTCCCTTCATAAGCCAAAAATATCTACTGAGATTTGTTGTGATTTCTCAAGATGCAGGACATATTCATTTAAACACACTTCCATCATGAATCTCCAATGTTTGGCTAGAGGTACTGTTGGAGAAGACTCTCGAGAGTCCCTTGAACTGCAAGGAGATCCAACCAGTCCATCCTATAGGAGATCATTCCTGGGTGTTCATTGGAAGGACTGATGCTGAAGCTGAAACTCCGATACTTTGGCCACCTCATGTGAAGAGTTGACTTATCGGAAAAGACCCTGATGCTGGAAGGGATTGGGGGCAGGAGGAGAACAGGACGATATAGAGGATGAGATGGCTGGATGGCGTCACCAACTCGATGGACATGAGTTTGAGTAAACTCCGGGAACTGGTGATGGACAGGGAAGCCTGGCATGCTGCAATTCATGGGGTCATAAAGAGTCAGACGCGACTGAACTGAACTGAATGAGAAATATGAATCGCCCCCAACCATGCCCATGTTACATTCAACAGTGATCAAAGGGACACAGTAGCAACTCAGGATGCATGCACCAAATTGATTGAGGTACATTCAGAAAAGATTCTGAAGAGTTTATAATGCAAACATGCGTGCATGTGTGCTAAGTCACTTCAGTTGTGTATGAATCTTTGAGACCCTGTAGACTGTAGCCAGCCAAGCTCCTCTGTCCATGCGATTCTCCAGGTAAGAACACTGGAGTGGGCTGCCATGCTCTCCTCCAGCAGATCTTTGCGACTAAGGGATGGAATCCGTGACTCTTAGGTCTCCTGCACTGGCAGGCAGGCTCTCCACCACTAGCACCACCTTGGAAGCCCTAACGCAAACATACCAACTGGTGAAAAGCATCACCCTTTGACTACTTTTCTGGGTTTCCCAGATGGCTCAGACAGTAAAGAATCTGCCTGCAATGCAGGAGACTTGGGTTCAACCCCTGGGTTGGAAAGATCCCCTAGAGAAGGGAACAGCTACCCACTCCAGTATTCTGGCCTGGAGAATGCCATAGAAAAAGGAGCCTCAGGGCTACAGTCCATGGGGTTGCAAAGAGCCGGACATGACTGAGTGACTTTCACTTTCTTATAGGAAAAGCAGAAGTATCAAATTATAAGGAAACTATACTTTGCTAAAAAACCATTTCATAGAAAAGTCAATCACCACCCTTTTTGACTCAATTCTAACATAACAACAAAATCAACAGTAACAACTTTTTTCAAGCCTTTATGCCATTCAACCAATAGGTCATTTCTTCAGAGAAGACATTAACTGTTTGATCCAACTCCCAAATTTTGGCTGAAATCCAAGAGAATGAGGGAATTTTTGCTCTTTGTAAGGATCAACACATCTCAGAGATTAGAATAGTGTCCAGTCAAGTCTTCCATTATCTGCTGTTATGCAACAACAGGTAGTATAAAACAACTATCATTTTGCTATTATTAATATCTTGGTAACACACACAATGGGCTTTCCCGGTGGCTCAGCCATGAAGAATCTGCCTGCTGAGACTCAGGGACACAGGATCAATCCCTGGGTTGGGAAGGCCCCCTGGAGGAGGGCATGGCAACCCACTCCAGAAATCTTGCCTGGAGAATCCCATGAAGAGAAGAGCCTGGTGGGCTGC